CATTAATAAAGAGCAATTACGCTAAGATCACTGCGCAGCTGTGTCGGTCCTGGGCTCAAACTTAACCGGGCATTGTGATTGTATGTCTCAAGCATAATAGAGCAGCCTCCGATTGAGCTAAAGCACGAACGATCTTTTAGCAGTAAACAAAAAGATTAGAATAGATGGACGTCTGGCACAACAACAAAGAGGATGTGTTAACTAAATATTTGCACATTTACGCGCATACACACATCCACGAAAGGGAAAACGATTCAGTACGCAAAATAAAATTATATATATATATATATATATAATATTATAATTGCTACTGCTATACTATATTATTTTATATAATTGTGTATATGTATGTATGTATTTTTCGTTTGCAAGTGGATTTTCGAGACAACCAATAAATCAAATATATGAAATTCCTTCCTAAAGGTGATGAAGGACTGGAAGTTGAATTCCCCCACAATTGAATTCCACATAGCTTTGCGTTCCCAAAAGCAATTCTCATCAAAGCAGAAATGGACTGCAGTTTCGACCCAGCCTTAACTGGTCTCTTCAGTATCCCCATTGGGACTCAAACTTTGATAATGTAACGCATCAGCTCGACACGTTAACAAATAAGCCACATTTCCACGAGCGCTCTTGGTCCACAGGGCAAATGTGCAAGGAAAGCGAGGCATCTTGTAATATCACATTCTGTGGTGGGATTGTGGATGAAGCAATTTATAATGGCAATCGACTACATTATTTGTTTTTCATTTGAAGTAGGCTTTCGAGAATTTCAGTAGATCTTATATATGATATATATGTGATAAAATCAACTAACAGTCCTTCTTCAGCTTAAACGAAATAGAGTCAACACACCGTATATGTTTTAATATATGTAAGCAGATAGGCGGAGATGACCGACTAACAATTGAGTTATGCTATTAGTATAAAAAGGATGTACAGACCTCAATCAGATCGTATAGGTAAGGAGACCATCTGGAAAGAGCATAACAGTTGTCGTCCACTCTGTCGGGTCGCTTTCCCTTGAAAGGAAGGTAGTCCTGTATGTCTTTACGAGCGTTACTGAAGGTTGGCAATTGGGAAAGGATGGAAAGTCCACTGGGCGGATCCTCAGGATGGTTTGGCGGCTGGAGAAGGAAAAAAATTGCATAACTCGTACATCAAAAGAAAAGAGTTGTAAATAAGTAAAGGGAGAAAGGAATTTTCGAAGACCAGAAAGACTAACTGAAGTAGCCTTTCGAGTGGTACGGCCTGTAGAAAGGTTGACGATGCGTAAAGAGGAGTTCAGCTAAAAAAAGCCCCCACAAAATGCCTATCGACAAGAGGATGAAGTTTTCACCAAAACAATCTGGAAGCATCAGGCATGTTCGGTGTCTCGAGTGTCTCTAATGGTTTATAGAAGGGATAATGCCGACTAAAATGCCGTCAATACGTCCGAGTATGTAGCAGGCCAACAATCCGAAGCAGAGAGAACGCATAATGATACGAATTAATGCCTATGAGTGAGGCATTTTGAATACGAGTGCACACATAGATGGGGTACTGGCGATTACGAAATAGAATGTACCATAAGGCAAATAAGATGGGATGCTGGGCTGGCAAACTCACATCGGGCTCGATAAGACGCGCACCAAGCAGACCAGACAAGCTGATGACCAGGGGCTTGTTGGTAGGAGAGACTCTGGCGCACTCCAATAATCGGTCAAAGTGGGCCTCTGACATACCGTCTGGCGATGAGACGATAAAATGAAGACCGAAAGGTAGATTGGGACGGAATTTGTAGATGAAAACAAAACTTGGGAATTGGCAGAAAATGCGCTGTTAAAAAAACTCACTTTTAGTGAGCAGAAAGATCAAGATAAGTCTTAGTCGTTGCTCAACTGTAGGAAAATCGAATTTGAGTACATCAACGAGGAGCCGCATAGAGTCGCGCAGTGGATCGCCTTGTGCCGTCTGACCCATGACCAAATCCTGGAAATAAAATAGAAATTTTTGTCTACAGAGGTGAGAAAATAAAATTATAAAATTTCCACAACTAATCTGGGAGAGACACATCTACAACAAGTATTATCAAGCGCAACGCATACTCCCTCAACTCAGATTCTCGAGATGACGAGGGACTGGTGATGAATACTCCCATAAACATGTGAATAGGCCTCATGATCTCTGTAGGAAAATTCACTGTCAGTCCTTCGGCATTTTGAGCGACCTGGTCAGAGTTGTGATATGACTTTCTAAGATAGGTTGGACTCACTCGAGAGCGAAGAAGGATTGCCGTATAGGGAAAACTGTGGATTGTGCGAAGAAGTTCTCGGCGCACCGTCCAGCGACCCCGTCCTCCCAACCAATATTTCCTTCGAAATGGAAA